TTTTTTTTTTTTTTTTTTTTTTTTTTGAGAAGTCTTGACAAACAAAGAGACACAAGTGATAATGGGAAAATTTTAAAGTGAACAAATGTGACAAATGCTTCAAGAGCACCGTGTAAGTGACTCGAGTTCTGATACTTTTTAGACAAGTTAAAAGTAGAAAACATTCAGGTAGCTGCTGCCAGCTTCACAGTTGTGTAACATACAGCTGATGGGGTTAGGTAAATTGTTGACTCTACATATGCCCATAAGCATGGATCTAAATTAGAAGGATGAGGGAACCAGAACAGGAAATTGACCTGATTATATAATCATAATAATATTCACAGTACTAATTGTTATTATTACTGTTGTTGTTATTTAACTCCACTGTTGAAACAGTGGACAGCTTTCACTACCTTAAATCCAGGGACTCAAAGACGCTCAACAACTGCTGTTTTAAAAAAGCTGCTAGACCTCAAATCCTCAAAGGCCAACAAGTAAAAGAAAAGTTCACAGACTGAGGAATCTTCCTTTGTGAAAAACATGAACTCTGAACTTTGAGGTGTTTCAGGATGATAATTACTTCAGTTATTCTCTCAGATTAGTTTGACATTTTCTCAATTAGATTTGAGTGAGATCCTGGAATGAAGACAGATAAAAATAGTTTGTTCAACAAAGTTTTCTTTATAGTAATAGTCTTCGGTTTGTTCATATGTTTCATCACGACAAGAAACATGAACAAAATCAGGTTTTAGATCCCCCCGAAAACTTTGGTCTTCCAAACAGGAAAATATAAATGTAATTTATATTAAGAAGGAAACAAAGTTTTCAGTATTTTATATATTATATAAATAAATATAAATATTTAGTGTTTTTAGTATCTAACAAAAAAATCTGCAGTTTTTTTCAGATATTAAACAAAAATAACTTTTAAATGTAGTCATAGATGTGTTTAAAAATGTATAAACTGGTGAGAAAAAACAATTGTTATAAAGGAAACTCAGCCTATTTCTCTGTTAAGGTTTATTAAGTGGAAGAGGAAAAAACATACAAATCCATCAATACAGAGAGCACAAAAAAGTTTACATTTTCATATGTAGAAATATTTTTATACATGAAAATAATCATGAGCAGTGATAG